TACACATAATTTATCTTTGTTTTCCTTTTCCTTTTTTCAGGAACTTTGTCTCAATCACTTGGCCAATATTTCCACATTACTTGACTATACTGTCCTTAAAAGTTCCATATGGCCGCGGATGAAAAAGCTATTTCGCTCTACTGATGTTAATTCCGTAAGTAATATATACTCATATTAATTATAAAAAAAACCCATCCTAGTAGTAATTGGCAGGGCGTCTTTTAAAATTCACAACGAGATGTTGCGTTTCATTTTTGAAGACACAGATCAACATTTTTAAATTCCTTTTTTAATCAATGGGGCTGCTAACCAATTTGGATCTATTTGATTATATGCTAGTCTATTTGCTTTACTTTTCAGAGGTAATTTTTTAACTTGCATCTGCACCATCTGAATTTACTTGCTTATAATAAAAGCTAGCTTAGTTTGCTGGCTTATCTTTGTCTATGATGCTGTCTAGATTATCATCACCTCAGAAAATGTAATCTAAATTTAGTTATCAATGACTTTTTCTGAAAATTCTTGAACCATTTATTTTATAGGCATTACAGAAAGTGTAATATTTTTTAGGTGCGTATGGCCTGTCTTACTTGTCTTGGCAAGCTAATGGAGAACATGGACAAGTGGTTTGTTATCGACGAAGTTCTCCCTTTTATTGCGGAGATTCGCAACCGGGAGCCTGCTATTCTTGTATGCATCTATGGTAAGCGTTCCAAGCTCATAGATGTTCGAATTTTTAAGGGGAGCTGCTTTCAACTTATTAAAATTAGTGTTTTTATCTCTATTTAAGTCAGCTTTATGACTAATCTCTTTTTTCCTTTATGGGTGCTATTGACCTAGGTAATCATTTGCTTTGCCTCAACTCGACCCAATGATTTATTTTCTTTTTGGGTCAGTATTATTGGATCACTAATATTATATTCAATGAGCTTTGTTGTGTTTTTGCAAATATCTTTAAATTCAAGATACTGTAGTCGCCATATACCAGCGGTCTGCATAATCTGAAATGTTACGAGAAAGCCACTACTTACAAATTATAAAAAATTATACTTGTAAATGAAAAATAAGTAATGCAGTTGATTTTTATAGCAAATATAACTTTGCTTTATTGACAATCCTACCAAATAATGCGATATGGGAAAATGCCCGGTCTTCCTTGAAATTAATATCTGCCCTTTTACCCAAGGGCATTCGTGGTATTGTGGCGCAACGGTTAATGTGTAAAGATTACATGCTGCATTGTCATGCATCTTGATAAGACCTAGGCGAGGTTGAAACTGCAGTTTCCCCTGATAAGATTAGCTTTTGGGAAAGCATTGCTATGTGAGCTTCAATGAAAACGTCAGCTCTACTCTATATAATTGTGTCCTTTAACATCCTAAACTAAATAGGATGAATACATTTCATATGATAATATGAGTTTACCTCATATCATTGCGGGAAAATACAACTACCATTCCTTCATCACCTTATGTGATCTAGACTATTTAGTTTTATTTATGATCTACCAGTAGTCTCGAAACCTACTGGGTACCCTAGTCGGTTGTAATGAAAAATACGAGTTGTTTCATCGAAATTTCTACAATACAAGCTGATATGG